GGGCCGTCGGCTCGTGGCGGGCGTGGGCCCGGTTGTCAGACGCGGGCTTCGCCGTTCTCGCTGGGGGCAAGGATCGGGCCTTCCTGATAGACCTGGAGGGATCGGCAGGTCGCGAAATCCTCCCACCCGTCGGCGCGCTGCCGTGGTGCCCCCTTCCTCCCGCCTAGCCCGCTACAGTACGTTAGATGTGTCTTCGTCGAACCCTCTTGCCTTTTTGACCTGGAGAGTCCTTCCCATTCCTTTCCATGTCATTGTGTTGCTTTGTATCGTTTTCCTTCGGCCTCCCCTTCTCCCCTCTAGATCTTTTTCAAGCTCAATTTGGATCTGACAGCCTTCCCACCCTTTTCGCCTCCTCCCTCCCTCGCCCCAGGATTATCCCTGGGACGGGCCCTGAGCCGAGCCTACTACCGGCCTGTGGGCACGCCAGGAAATGGAGGTGCTGCGGGGGCAGGGCGGTGAGGAGGAGATGCCGAGGCCTTTGATTTGAGACCTCTGGGAACTGCCGCCAGTGGTCTGGACAGGCCTGCCCATTTCACCTGCTGGGGCGAAAACGTTGGCTTCTGGTGGTGGATGGGTGATTGACTCTAAAACTGCAGAGCTCTGGTTTTTCTGGGTCACTTCCAATGACTGCTCCTGCTTTGTATTTGAGTCTTTTGTAACCTTTAAATGACACCCGAGGAGACCTGGCCAGCATGCAGAGATGAGGCTTTGCCTCAAGAGGCCCCCAGGCCGTGCCAAGCCTGGTGATGTTCAGAACTCGACCCAAGGAACCTAGAGAGTTAGAACCCTGTTTTAAAGGTTTGCAACTTGAAGAGTTTCACACATTCCAGGAAAATCCCAGAGGCACGTGAGCAGCTACCCCCTCCACAAGCACCTCTTGCTGATTTCTCCCCCACCCATTCCGGATGGGAAGATAAACAGAGGTAGATGATGGTAATTTTCCCTCTGCTTGCAGCCTCAGTCCCCAGGGGCTGGAGGGATGGTCTTCTGACTCACCAATGTTTTACACGTGTCTCCTGATCTTTTTCTCTTCCTGATGTGGTTTTTGTCTCCTGTTCTTAGCTATGAGTATAGGAAAAGCTTCTGCCTCCCCAGTAGCATGAAAGACATTCCAGGAAACCCCTCCACTGCTCCTTATCCTCTAAGGGAACTAACAGTTTAGAAGTTTTTTTTTTTTTTTGAGTTGGAGTCTCACTCTGTCGCCCAGACTGGAGTGCAGTGGCTGCTCCCGGCCACCGCAGCCTCAACCTACTGGGCTCCAGCGATCCTTCCACCTCAGCCTTCCAAGTAGCTGGAACTACAGGCGCGTGC